TGAACCTCCGCGGCACAGGCTGTACAAGCAGGCAGAGGTGAGTGCTGGTTTGCGCATCCCTCGCTCACGTAAAAGCTTTGGAAAGCGTTGGCTGACTTGGGCTTCATGAATGGTGTGGCTGGTAGCCCAACGGACTGCACAAGCATAGCAGCGCCAGGAGTATGGGCGGGATGTGCAGCCTTGTTGAGGTGTTAAGGATATATTTATTAATTGTGTATAAGGGACAGTGTCAGTATGGTCTGATGGAGTTGCAGTTTAAGCACAACCTGCAGGACACTTACAGAAATACATGTGGAGTCAAATATCCAGCAGCTTAGGTGGGTATAAATGGTTTTGATTGCTGTAGAGTTAAAAATCACATATCTTTGTGTTGGCTCAGGGGGTGCAGTTTTGTGCCAGGCTTTTGTGGGGAAATAAATGCATTAACGTCTTGTTGGAACAAGCATGTTGGCCATGTAACAGTGAAACCGGGTGAGTTTTTGCTGTTGCAGCAAGCCTATGGTATTCTTCTAAATACAAGAATAGCACTGGTTCAACCTGCCGCTGCACCCACCTGCGAGAAGATCTGAGACTACAGAGCTATTAGGACAAGTAGGTGTGCTGACAGCAGTCGGTGAAAGCGAGGATTAGAATAGGATAGAGAGGAAGCAAGTGATTACAGAGAGAATCTCTGCGGAAATGTGTGTGTTCTCCTGCGGAGCTTTTGACCCTCATGACTGGCTGTGCCTTCACGTTTGGTAATTTTCAGTTGATGTTCTTGGAGTTTGGAACCTGCTGGCAGATTATTCCGTTGTTTCTGCATCACAAGTGGTGACTGATGATGTTTCTGTGGTTGCTCCATGGTTGGGTTCTGAACCCAGTAGGAAATGTTCGACCAGCTGCAAGAAAGGGCTTTATCCAGGCTCCTTCCCTGACACGTTTGTCATTTCCAGGAGGAGACAACTGCTGTTTGCTTTCCTGTCAGCTCAGCCATTCCCGAGAGTGCCTGTGCTTGAGCAGACAGGATGGAGTACCGATAGTGCTGTGAGATTCTTTTTGGCCAATTGGTTGCAAAACATCCTACCAGTAATGGGGAAAAAGCCCCAAAGCCTGTGTCCCTGCTGCCCTCTCGTGAGTTACGTGGGAGTTGCATCACTCCGCACATGGGTTTTGACTGCTCATAAGATTCTCAGTGCTTAAAGGGAATCAGGTTTTCTTCCTTTGAGGAACATCCTTGTCTATAGCAGAAAGAAGCCCTCCTGATGCATTTAGGTTCTTCTGACACTCCGTGTATCATCTCACTGCCTAATCATAGAGTCGTCGAATCACAGAATGGTTTGGGTTGGAAGGGACCTCTGAAGACGATCTAGCCCAACCCCCCAGCCATGGGCAGCGATGTCTGTTCACTGGATCAGGCTGCTGGAAGCCCCATCCAACCTGACCTTGAATGGTCCCAGTGATGGGGTGCCCACAATGTCTTTGGACAACCCGTTCTAATGTCTCACCGCCCTCATCATAAAATAATTTCTTCTTCTTATCTAATCTGAATCTCCCCTCTTTTAGTTTAAAACCATTTCCCCTTGTCTTATCACTACAGGCTCTGCTAAAAAGTCTGTCCCCATCTTTCTTATCAGTCCTCTTTCAGCACTGGAAGGTCTCCCCGGAGCCTTCTCTTCTCCAGGCTGCACACCCCCAACTCTCTCAGCCTGTCCTCGCACGGGAGCTGCTCCAGCCTCGGACCATCTCCGTGGCTCCTCTGGCCCCGCTCCAGCAGCTCCGTGTCTGTCCTGTGCTGAGGACCCCAGAGCTGGGTGCAGCTCCCCAGGGGGTCTCACCAGAGCGGAGCAGAGGGGGACAATCCCCTCCCTCGCCCTGCTGCTCACGCTGCTGGGGATGTCCCCAGGACACGGTTGGCTTTCTGTGCTGCCAGTGCACGTTACCAGGGCATGTCCCATTTTTTTTGTCCACCATTACTGCCAAGTCCTTCTCCCCAGGGCTGCTCTCCATCCATCCATCCGTCCATCCACCCCCCATCTGTATTGATACCAGGGGCTGCCCTGATGCATGTGCAGGACCTTGCACTTGGCCTTGTGGAGCTCCGTGAGGTTCACACCGGCCACCCTCAAGCCCCTCCATGTCCTTGTGGATGGCATCTCATCCCTCTGGTGAATTGGCTCTGCTGCCCAGCTTGGTGTCATCTGCAAACTTGCTGACGGCTCTGCTGCCCAGCTTGGTGTCATCTGGCCCTTGATTCCACTGTCTATGTCCTTGACAAGATATTAAATAGTACTGATCCCAGTACAGACCCTTGAGGTTCACTGGTTTCCAGTGGGACGTTGGGCCATTGACTGTAACTCTTTGGACGTGGCCATTCAGCCAGTTCCTCATCCATCTCACAGTCCATCTGTCAAACTCGTATCTCTCTGATTTAGTGTCCAGAGTGTTGTGGTGGCCCAGATCAAAGGACTAACAGGAGGCCAGGTAGAAGCCATCTGTAAGCTCTTCCCGTGTCCACTGAAGCAGTCACATCCCAGAAGGCCACTGGATTAGTCAGGCGTGAGCTGCACTTCGTGAAGCCATGCTGGCTGTCTCCGGTCACCTCCCTGTCTTCTGTACGTTTCGGCGTGTTTTCCAGGAGGATCTGCTCCGTGATCTTACCAGGCACGGAGGTGAGGCTGGCTGGTAGTTCCCAGGGTCCTTCTTTTTATCCTTTTTAAAAAGGGTGTGATGTCTAATGGATCCTGAGTCCTGTCTCCAGAAGACTTGTCTGTCTGTGAGCAGTGCTTATTATCTTCATCCTCTTGTAGATGAAACAGTGAGAGATGAGAGCCAAGGCAAAACCGGGAACCTGGGAGGTGTTTTTATAAAGCGGTGAAATACCTGTACAAGTCAGCAGCTGGGTGATTATGTTGAGATTTGAAACACGCAATCTGCTCGTCGATTGCAGACGTTTAACACTGTTAGCACAGCGGTTCCTGGTCACGCAAGCAGCCCTTTCTGGTCTCAGACGTCACATCCCCCCATCCGTTCGTCCCCGTTAAAAACTGCGGTTCTCCTGCTGATGTGAGGCTTGGTTCAGTGCATTTCAAGTGGTTCATGGCCTTACCTGGGTGTGCAACTGTTAAAAGATTTTGGATTTCCTCACCCGAGCGAGGAGAGGGTGGGTAGATGGTGTGTGGCTATTCATAGCCTGCGGGTGCCTTGGCTTTGAGGAGGGGGGAGGCTGGGATCGCCAGGGCAAGGTCCAGGCGTTCGTCCTTGTCCAGGTGGTGCATCCCATGTAGCTGGCGAAGGAAATTCTTGGACTCTGGGAGCAGCAGTTAACTCAGGAATAGCTTTTAATTCACTAAGCGGAGAGATCGGAACAAGGACATCTTATGGAAGTTGGAAGAAGTAAGGTTAAGTATTTCTTAGAATTTTAATTGGGATAGATAATTATGATTCCATATGATAATTCTCATTCCATACGATCTCTCCAGGGTGGCTAGCTGCAGGGGTGGTAGGTGTATGTATTTGCCACTAATCACACAACTATAGATGCTTTAAAGATAAACCTTCTCTTTAATTAAAAAACAAAACCCAACCAACCAAACACCGCCTTAATTTTTCCCATGCTAGTTGCAAGTGTGAGCTACAGTTAATTTCCCAGCTCCTGGAAAGCCAGGCTGGCTGTTCCTGTGGCTCTGCTGGCCCTCCCTGTTGTGGATGCTCCTCGGAGTACCGCTGCCGCGTGCGCAGGTGAGGAGAAGGTGCCAGCTGACCAGCCGGGCTTCTGCCTGCGGGAACTGCTTAAGCACCTACCTGCTGGTGTGCAAAAGCCAGCCTGTTCTTCCTTTGCATCCGTAGCATTCTTAGCTGGGTTTCGTACCAGTTCTCTTCATCTGTTTGCACTTGCAGCGGATATTTTCTCTTGCTCACTTGAAACCTTAGAAAACGTTACTCTTCCCGTGCCTGGCTCCCTTCTCCTCATGGTTTCCTTTCACTTTCATTTCATTGTCAGTTTAAAACCTTTGACTAGTTCTCCCCTCACCTCTTTTTTCTTATTTTGCCTTTTAAAAACCATCACTGACTGTATGGATCGTGGATGACTGTTAGCTATGATTACTCTTTGATGTCTGTACACTCCTGTGGGTGCTGGCTCTCTGAAATACTGTTTTCTGTCCTGTTAAACAACCTCCGCTCACCTTTGGGGTGCTCTTCTTCAAAATAAGGATCTTCAACTGCCACTCAGGAAGCAATCCTCACCGACTAGTCCTCAGTTTCTTGGAGTTTTCTGTTCGTCTGTGTATCATTTATTTTTGTATGATTGTATCACGTCTATACCAATTCCTTGTGGTGTTGCTGTTTGCCTAACACAGATTGAAACTCCCTGAGCGCAGCAGTTGTGGTTTGTGTCTCTGTAGCGTATGAAATAGTCCTGGTGTACAAACAGAAGCTGAGTCAGAGAGAGATTTTTAAGGCTGAAGTAGTTTTTGGTATATAAAATTGAATTTTTTCTTATAATGAAGTTCTATTTCTCTTCTTTTTTTTTTTTTTTGCAGAAAAAGATCACGCTAAACATGTTTTTAGACACGTTGATGGCTGATCCACCTCCTCAGTGCCTTGTGTGGCTGCCTCTCGTGCACAGACTTGCCCATGTTGAAAACGGTAACTGGAATATTTTCTTCTTTGAACACATCTGGTCAGAGAGGGTTTCTGTTGAACGGGTGTAGGTATGCTGTCCTTTCCAGTGTAACGAAGCACGGAATGCTTTCATCGTTCCCATTGTAACGGTCGGAGTCCCGGAGCATTTAAGCCTGGATTTGGTTGCAGTGGAAAGTGTTCTGTGCTGCTGGGATGCAGACTGGGTCCTTATGAAACCATCGGCAACAATGCAAAACAGCAGAGTTCCAGCATCACTAACAGGGGGAGGTGAAAAAACAAGCAGCAGAAAAATTATATTCTCTAAATGTTATTGTTCCAAAACTTTGAACAAACCACGTGAACGGTGCTTTGGTGTACGCTTTCGAGTGCTGACTCCCAAACATTTGGGTGCCTGTTCAGACCTCTGTCTTCAGTGCTCACTGCGGAAGGTAAATGCTGAGCTCCTCTCACTTCCAGACCGTATCTTAGCTAGAATTTCCTGGGTTTGCTGCCTATGGAAAGTATTTAAGGAGCACTAAGGGATGGAAGACTGAAGATGAACAGTGAGAGTGAAGAGAGAGTCGGCTGGCTGAGGGGGCTTTATGGGGTTCAGGGAAGCAAAAGGCTTTCCTGCGGAGGTTGTGCAAGTGTGTCGAAACTGTTTGTTGTTTTTAGTGGCCAGAAAGGTGGCGTGTTTAATTTATTGCGCAGTCCCACACAGTATATATATGTATGGTGGTTCGTATGTGAGTTCTAGAAAAAAACCCAACTTTTTTTTTCTTCGCTCATAAACTAAACTTCATCTTTTGTTTCCTTCTCCATAAAAACATGTTCTCATCCTTCCAAAACCCTGTCCTAGTAGTTGTTACCTCTTCTGCTTAATGCGTTTATGGTCATTTCCAGGTGTATGAGCTGCTTCCTTTTGAGACAGAGGTGGGTGAACTCTGGACCGCTGGCTTTCCCTAGCCGTTCCCAGGCACAGCTCGGCAGCCTGGCTCTAGCTAAAGTTCTCCTGATTCGTATTCCATGCTCTGTTTCTTGATGTTTATGCCTGTGACAAGGTTAAGTATTGCTGTGATTTTGATACGCTGGGTTTTGGCATTTGTTTCATTATCTTCTCTTGATCCTCTTGCAAAGCAGCTGGCTGTGAATTTAATTTGCAGTGAGCAGGACTGGGGCTGCGATGCTCAGCGGGCTTTTTTTCTGTTGCAACAGAAGAGGAGATAAATTGTCCAGTTTCTGTGTATGTTTATGGACATTTTCTGATAACTGGAGGTCTCATTAAGAAAGTGATTTTTTTAAAATAATTTGGAGGGAAGCAATTTCATGGAGATAAATCTTATGGGAAAACTTAGCAAAAGGGTGAAGAGGTTGATCTAGTTAAAATGTCAGATAAACTGCAGCATCCCTGTGTGACAGGCTGCACTGATAGAAGGGTGGCAGCAACTTCTTGCTTTCTACTTCTTCCTTTTTCCTCTTAAACCCATACTTCAAGAAGAGGACAGAGGGTGGAATAAATATGGTAAGGAAACAGGCAGGAAAATTGTTTGTTTGATAGGATGGAATTGCACAGAGCTTAAGCAAGAGTAAAATGTTTAAAATTCATGTTTGGACAGAGTGAAATGGTGGAAAGATCTGGAGATAATCCATAGCCTGATCTTTTTTTATCCTTGAAAGTGCCTGGAGGAGATTACTAGATACCCAGAATAATGTCGCCCTTATAGATTAGCGCAGGTGTTCCTGTGTTATCTGACAGCTTCTGTTCCCCTCTAACACGCAGATCCCAACCCAACCGTTACGTAAGTGCCCCTTTTGCTGACGCCTTCCAAGCAGCAAGAGATTCTCCCCGTTCTTCTCTTCTGCCAGCCAGTCCCCAGGTTTAATCCTACGTTACACATAGGAGTCTCGTTACACAGAGGTTTAGCATTCCGATAACTTCTAATGTTTGTGGCATTAAAATCATGTTTATGATTCTTACCAGGCTCTTCCCCAGCTGCCTCCTGGATTATGATCATTCATGCCAGTGTTCTTTCCTTCTAAGTTACTACAGGGTTTTTTCCTCTTCTATTCTGTTGCAAGTGGTGTTTTTGTGGCAGAGTCAGGCAGCGGTTCCTCTGCTTGCAGTGCTGATGAGAAACCATTGCAGCTGATGCACAGGGGTACGTGGCATGACCCAGCAGCCTTGGCGGGGGGAGATCAAGTCTGGATTGTGTCCCTACAGTAAAAGAAGGGAAGAGAGGCTTGGTGTTGGGGGCCTGACTATGGGAAGGTAAAAATAGCAAATTTGAAGGAGACAGTAGAAGGAATGAGCTTGGGATTACTGGGACGTGTGGTAGGAAAAGAAATGTTGATGGGAGATGCAGCTCTGGTTGAAGGTTTGCTTTTTCCTTAAAAAGCACAAATGGAAATACAGGAAATGCTGTTTAAACATAAGAATAATATTTTTTTTTTTAGTGTGAGGGTGATCAAATGCTCCATCAGGTTGCCCGGGTTGTGGAGTCTCCATCCTCGGAGATATTCATACCCCGACTGGACACCAGTGTGAGCAGCCGGCTGTGGCTGGCACTGCTTGGAGCAGATCTCCAGAGGTCCCCTCCAGCCCCGGACAGCCACTGGTTCTGTCCTTCTGGGTATGATTGCAGTGAAAACCCCATGAAATCATTTCCTGAAGCTCTCCTCTGGTTTTGTCTGGATGGCACCTTGTCACAGCGCAGTGCTTTGGTTCCCTAACCGTTCCTCCCAGCCATACGTGTATCCCCTTCACAGCCTGTCAATATTCTCATTAATTACCCTGGCAGTCATTGCTGAGTTATTTCGGAGGCACTTGAACACCTGGGTTGACACCTTCAAAAAAACCAGTAATAACCCTGCGATTTCCTTGGGTGTCTTTTCCACTCTGATATAAGCAAAAGGCAGTAAAGCTCTGAACTGAGCTTGTTTTATTGCAGAAGTAACATTTACAGATTAAAAATAACATCTCTTCTTTCTCAAGGCATCATAAGAACTCCCTAGATTGCCAGTATTGATCTAAACAAACAGGCCAGCACGTTATTTTTGAGAGCCATGGTCTCTGTTTGCGTGCTGATACGCGGCATAATCACTGCGTGCGTCGGTCAGTAGTTCTGTGTAGCGTTCCTACAACTTAGGCTGGGTCTTGTGGTGCACTTGTGTTTTCCATGCCCTGCCCAGAGCCATCTTCTGACTTGGCACCTTGGAGTGTGCCTCACTGGTGGTATTCTGCGAGTTTTTAAGCCCATCATTTCTTTTCTGGATAAAAATTCTGCAGTGTGCTTCAGTCTTTTCCATTGTGCAGGTCCCTAAGCTTGCCAGTGGAAGGCAGGCTGTTCTAAAAGGCCCTTCTGTGCAGGCTCCTGTGCCACATTGCTTCTGTTCATCACAACCTGCGGGTGCCGTGGAAGTCGTCCGTCAGATCCACGTGGTCTGTAGATCACAGGCTGTAGAGCTGCGTTCCACCGCGGTGAGCGGAGCAGAACGTGTTAGTCCCAGAGATCAGGTTGTGTTTAGAGATCTGTCAGCAGGATGCAGGACCAGAGAGCGTTTGGGTGCATTCCCAACCGCTGCCTTAGACTGAGCAGGTCAGGTTTCTGCTGTAGTCGGAGATTCCTGCTCTGAACTGCCATTGCATGGGTTGTAGCTGAGGATGCTGATCTCCTGGAAGAGTTCTTTCTGCTCATTTGAATAGTTTCCATGGAGAACCCTGGAAGTCGGAGTTGAAACCTGGGGCTTGGCATGTGTGTTATATACTAGACGTGATTTTGGTGGTAAAATTCCCCACAGCTTTATAAGGAATGCAGTATTTGGGGTGTTTGGCTCCTTGTGGCGTGTATTGCTCACCGAGGCAGATGATGGCATTTCTCTCTCCTGGCTAGCAGCCTCATCTGTGTTTTATGTTGGAGTAATAGAATTTAGATGTTATAGATGTTCGCATCGGTATTGCTGGCCTGTGTCCACTGGGACAAAACAAAATCTGGTGGTGGTACAGCTTGTTTGCAGATGTAGCTGTTAGTACCATGTGGAACAGGATTCTATAATAGAAGTTCGTATTTGTAGGCAGGGCAAGTTCTTCAAAGCGTTTCTCCTCCAACACTGATTCTGTCTTAGCCAGAGTTTTGGACAGTGGGGTTTTTCCAGCTCTTCATTGAAACATTTTTATGTGAAAAATGTCAAATTATTACATCTTCCTCGTGCTTTAGCTTTCTGCTTTTATTATCTCCTCTGATTTCTTCTCTTGCATTTTGCAGCTGTCGTATTTTCATTTTCCTTCAACTGCCAGTTTTTTAGTGTCTGCAGAAATTTCTCCTACACAATGTAATAAAGATTATGTTCCCCCACTTAATCTACATTTAGTTATCGATACCATTCTTCCTATGGAAATACTCTTGTCACGTGTAAGCAGACAACATGCACATGCTTCTCAGTTCCAGACCAGCCCCTGGTCATTCCGTCCTGTATTTCTTTCGCCTCTCTCATGGACTGTCGTGGTTTGACCCTGGCTGGCAGCGAAACACCACGACAACCGCTCGCTCACCCTCCCCACTCCCAGGGGTGGCGGAGAGAGTTAAAGGGGTGCAGGGAAAAGAGACTCCAGGGTGGAGATAAGAACAATTTCATAACTAAGCTACAATAACATTAAAAATAGTAATAATGATAGTAATATATACAAATACACAAAAGAGCAATACACAGTGACACTGCTCGCCACCCGGTGAGCAAGGCTCAGCCCGTTCCTGGCTTACGATCCTGGTGCAGGGGTAGTCCCAAAACAGCCATCCCAGAATGGAGATGAGAGCCTGAGTGTCCGAGAGACTGAGATGACCCTGAGAGAGGGGGGACCCAGAGAGAGCACCTCCAGGCAGACCCCATCTCTCTCCTGGCCATGCCGTGCATGGGATGGAACAGACCACTGGCCAGTTTGGGTTCATGGTCCAGTCTCTCCAGGTGCTTCCCTCTCCAGCCCTTCTTGCTCCTTCCATAGGGAACCGGTCTGCTGGCAGGAGCGAAGGGAGGAAGGAACAGGTTGTCTCTCTCAAGAAAGACCCAAGTTAGGAGGTTTGAGTCTGGAGTCCTGGCAGCCAGAAGAGGGAATGACTGAAGACTTGGATGCAGCGAAAAGTGGAAAGACAAACTCCCACTCCCATATGCGGCAGGGAGCTTTGGGAAACGGGAGACCTTCAAAAGAGAAGGTGTCAACAGCCAAACAAACGTTCAGATCACTGAGGCACAGAAAATGAAGCATGAGTGTTTTGGTTAGAACAAGTATTTCAGGGGCAGGAAAGGAAGAGCAGGAAGGAGAGAGGAAAACAGGGTTGGGACATGAGGTGAGCTCTGACAGTCCATAGGCAGGAGGGTCGTGGTGGTTCATGGGTGACTTGAGGCTGGGCACGTCCATGGTGTGAAGAACATTTTCAATGGACTGCTCCATGGGAACGTCAATCCACCTGGATTTCTGCAGATGGGAGCGTGGGAAGTGATCTGAACAGGAGGGAAGAGAAAGTTTGCAATGCCGTATGTTATGGCATTCGGAAATGAACCAAAAAATGATAAAAAGAGTAATATCTACATTTGATCATGGCATACCGCCTGCCTGTAAGCCGGGAAGGGGAGGACAGCAGGTTGGTGCATGCTGCCTCCACTTCAGTTGTTTGTTTCTCATCCATAGCTAAACTTTGTCACTTTCAGAAAAAGAGCAACAACCACAAAAAAATCCAAAACCCACACCCAAATAAACCAAAAAGTGCACCTCTTTGGTTTCTGCCTTGATGGCCAGATACCTTGCCCATGATTTAACGATCTCTGATACTGATTGCTCCAATCTCTTTACCCGTCATTTCTAGGAGCCTGCTTTTTGCAGGACATGGTGTGCTGTTGCCATTATTGTTTTGCCTCATGTTTTATTTTATCAGAATGTTGTTATTGCTTTCCTGAAGCAAGCGTGTCCATCTCAAGTTTTTGACTCTGTGGTTCAGGACTCTGTAGTACTTTTGTCCCCTTTTCATTAACAGCAATCTCCTGTAAATGTATTGAGTCAGAGAAGATAAGAGATGTTTTGAAAAGTGGGGGAAGAAGAGACAAGGTCGGGTGGTGGGCAGAGGCAGACAGAACCCGCTGCCATCAGCCGGTACCAGGATATTGGCTTTCCCTGAGATATCGACCTGACGCTGCAGCTTGGCAGGAGACAGCAACTGCAGCAGGCTGAAAGGATGGTGTGGGGGAGTGCAGGGGGGTGTGGGGAAAAAAAAAGGCTTTGGGAGCCTGTGACTTCATCCATCTCTTTCCAAAAGCAGACTTGAATGAATGTAAACATTCTTGAACCGTTTGCCTCCCTGCTTCTTAAAATCCTCTATCAAAAGGTTTCAGCATCTCCTGGGACGTGAAGCTGGGGTGGGATCATTGTTTAAATATTCTCAGGGCAAGAAAAGCTCTTTTCCTGCTGTTCTAGCACGAGTTTTTTCTTACTGCAGTTTAAACCCCTAAGTGCCTGGTTTTGGGCCACTGGCTGTAGAGAAGGTATTGCTGGTTTTGGAAGTACCTCTTGCGTGTTTGATACCTTCTCCCAGGCTACTCCTAGCTGAGATATCTCCTAGATGTTGTTCAGGCATTTGTAGCGCTTTCTCCTGTGCATGTAATTCACTGACATCTTCCTTGAGCTGCGATGCCCCCCATCAGACATTTCTGGTGATCGTTCAATACGTTTATGAAAAATATTGACCCGGAATAAAGCCCTTTGCTTATTGGATCTGTCCATTTGGACAATTAACTGCTCTCTGCTCTTTTCTCCATGGGATCACATCCATGTCACCGCCCTTTCATCTGTTGTGCGTTTTGCCCCGTCATGAGAATATCATGGGAGAGCAATTTTGTAAGAAGTGCTGAAGTAAAATGAAAAATTGATGACTTTTGATGCCTGTTTCCTATTTCCTAGGTCAATTACTCTGCAATGGAAAGACATGAGGTTCATTTGGCAGATGTTCTCCGTGGCTCATTTCTCTGTTGTTCTTCAGGTGTTTGCAGTGCTTTGCTGTGTTATTTGTTCCCATATATATTCTACAAGTTAAAATAACATGAGAAGTCAGTAGTTAATATGTAATTTCACACCCTTTTAAGGATCATAATTCCCATTCTTGTAATGTCCCTTTCAGATCCCCTGCTCATTTTCTCTCGTTCTGTTTTTCTGACTTTGAGCATTTGAGTTACTCTTTTAACCCTCCTTAGTAATTTGTCCCAGCTTTTGCTTCTGTAGGCTTCCCTTTGAATTTGAGGTTGTTGAAGAGCCATTAATTGTAGCCACATTGGTCTTTTACTGCAGTCTGCCCTGTTCCCTGCCTGGAGATGGTTTATGCTTGTTTCTTTAGCATCATTTCCTTAAGGAACTGACAATTCTAACTTAGTTTTCCTGCT